TCTAAAAAATAAAGTAGTTTTAATCAGTTTTATTCATAAAAATTCTAACATAACAAGGACTAAATGGATATTAAGTTATTCCTAAAGATCACTGGCACTTTGTGACGATAAAAATATTGATAAAATTAAAGATTCTTTCAGAAAGTATGACATTTCTGTACAGAACCTGTTCACCCATGATTTGATTTAAAATGTAGAATAATTTATTTCTCGGAATAAAAAGAATAAACAATAATTAAATGTAATGCGCAATATTCACATCACATAGGGGTTTAACATAATTCAGCAAGCTATATTTCAACTATGTTGTTCTTGACTTATCACAACAAAGATTCAATTGCTTGCAATACATGAAAAACAAAAAACTTTAACAAATAATAATAGCAGGATTTCGAAATAGGGATAGAAAACGTGTGATCAACAATGTTATATATATGTCAATAAGTAATCACATTAAAATTTACCGCCTTTCATAACTTGAAAACTACATAAAATTCAAATTTCATTAAAAGAAACACAAATTATATTGCTATTTCCATCAACAAGTATTAATTTCGTAAGTGACACTCTTTCACTACAGATTACTTTTAATAATACTTATCAACATTAAAAGTTGCATCTATATGAGATTCACTACTAATGAAATCACACTGTTTTTCTATCCACTATACTTTTGAAAAATATAAGATATAACAAATTCAATAAAATAATCAACAATACGGTCGATAAACAATCGATTAGTAGATCGATGTTATTTATGCCCAGAATTTATATTTGAGCTTATTCGCCAGTTCAGTACTTAATTTTGGAAAATAATCATCAGAGCCATCATTAACAAATCGTCCTTTTGCTTCACTGCAGCTAGATGTTGAACTTGTATCATCTAATCCAAGATTTCTGAATATGAACAACAACAATATAAGAATTTAGCAATAAAATATGTGAAACTTAATCTTTGATATGCTATTTCTATGATATTAAAAAATGTGGTAAATTTGAGTACTGAAATAGAACTAATAGAGTTAAAAAATTTTCAATATCATTATACAAATTTTTTTAATATATGAAACTCACAACTCTATGCAATTTCACAGCATCAATAACTAAAGATAAGATAAATAGAATAAACTTACTTAATCACAAAATATTTGTAAATTTTACTTACTGTTCAGTCTTAAAATTGTTACGTCCTCTTTTAGCCAGATCTGATGCTGAATAAAGATGTGCAGGTACTGAGATTGGAGATGTAACAATACCATGAGCATAACAAAGAGCATTAGTTATACCCACTAATTCATCCATGGACAAACGAGGCTCATCATCTACGAGTACGGTTGCACGTACTGGACGAGCGGTGCCATAAAAAATAATAACAAATTATTAATCTAATAAAAGACAAATAACAATTTGAGAACTGTATATTATGATATTAAATTTTAAATATGCTGAACAATTTGTATGTTGAACAGTTTAGAGAAAGATCATTATGAAATACCATTCATTTAAAAGCTGTTACTATGGTGATAAAAAAGGTGTGCCATTAATTTTAAGAAAAACGTACTATGACTGATTTGTGAGGAACAATAAGAAATTCCGTATAAGCTGGATGAACAATGTCTCTTTCAGCAACTGTGCCAGGTGGTACATTTTGTTGACATGCATTTCCTGAGCGAATATTTTCCGGATAAATACGATAATTTGAATGAGCTTGCATAACTAAAATTGTAAGGCGGATTCGTTCTGATTTGTCATTTGCAACATTTATAAACGCCTGTTTAAACTGACAAGCTTCTTCAGATATAACCTAGAATTAAATGCTATGAAGACGCTGCTTTCGTCTATCAAATGAATGAGTAAAATCATAAAGTTTAATCAAATAAATCTTGAATAGATACTTGTGTAA